TGACAGAGGCGAGGCTGCCGGACACTGGCGCCACCGGGCCCTCTGACCACCACCAGTAGGCAACGGGTGAAGTATCTTGCCCAAGGACACAACAACCGAGACTGTCCAAGCCGGGGCTCGAACCGGCAACCTTCCGATTACAAGGCGAACTCCCAACTCTTGAGCCACGATCGCCCCACCTCTGGTCATAGGTTTTCCATTTTCCTTTCTAATACATTCACAATTATTTCTAATAACAGGATTATGAATACTTGATTGAAAATAAATAATAATCCTACACACAGGTGTCACAGTAGTAATGTAACAATGTGGAATTGGTTAATCGAGAGGAGTGAAAGTGCCACATCCACAAAGAGAGAGACAGAAAAACAGGATGAGAGCAAAGGTTGGAGGAGAATCATAAAACACAACACGATTGTTCAGAGCTACAAATACACAATTATGAAAATTATTAGTAATTATGAAAACAATATTCTCTTTCTGAAAATAGATTCACTAAATCCTCTGCACAGGTATTGCAGCAGTGATCTCAACGCCACACCCATAGATACGTACACACACACACACGCAAATAGAAATACAGAAAGCACAGGGGGAGGAGACTGAACACCAAACATCTCTTTATATAAAGAGGACAGCTTGAAGTGCATATTATCAGTAACAAGGACATCCTTTTCATGCAGACTGAAGTCAGATTCATTGCTATTGCCAAGGTAACTGACACAAACATACATAACATGTCTCTTGATAATTGCAATTATCACAGATGATTGTGTGAAAATGATTGCCAATGTGTCTGTAATGTGTTATTCATAAAGAGTAATTAAGAAAGCAGAAATAAAGAAGAAATTGAGTATAATGGAAATTACATTCTGCAAAATGTTTCTGTTGTTTACAAACTTGGTTTCATCTTATTGTTGAATGCATCTTTACTTTATACAAGTATTTAATTGTTCTAATTTCTGCATGTGTTGAACTAATAATTTCTCTTTTTCTCCTCCCTTAATTTTTACGAGGAAATCCAAAGTATTTACTTAAGATTTAATTCATTTTAAATTCTCATCATTTTTGTCATCTATTGTAACACAAATCTATTTGTTAGTGTCAGAATCGTTCAGTTATTCGAAAGTATAATATATTGAGTACACATGAGTACTTTAGGCACGTTAAGTATATTTTCATACTAGTGCGTAGGGGAAATACTACTACTTTGTTCAAATGCTACTACTTTTGTAAACTTGTAAATACCTGCTGTACTGTATGCTGATTTAAGTCAGTGATACATTTTACAAACTGCTCAACTGTAAGAAATTCCACCCAAAATATTCTAAACATTTTTAAAAGCATTAAAGAAAAACACAAAACATAATTCATTAACCAAGCATTTGTACTTGAACTGGAAAGGGGCAGGAAATAAAAACAGGGTACTATTCAAATTAAAGAGCAGAATGATATCAGATAGTTATTTTTAGGGAACAGCATGCTTGCCCCTTTTTATGCTTGTAATTATTCATCAGGCCTTAACTTGCCATTATTACTAACAATAATAGTCACAGTAAATGTATCACATGACTGCTAACTGTTTCCTTATGTACCCAGAACAAAATATCACTGACCTTCGTCGGCTAACTCCTAATCAGTTGGAGAAAATTGTCATAAAGTAAGTTTATGCATGTTAAAAGAAGTTGCATTGTTCACACAGTTAATTTAGTATGTTTCTGCTATGCTTTCTTATGGGGGTTTTTGTTAGTTTTTTTACTCTTAAGGGATAGTATCCATCTTCCAATCTACAACACTATGGAAAAGCACTTTGACACCAAAGAAAGCAAGGTGATTTTACATAACTCTCGGTCTTTATCTTATAATAACTGGTGAATTGACAAAACCTATTTTTCTCATTTGGTACAGTATCAAAAATATTCAAAAGGACTGTAATTATCCATGTAAAATAAAATATCCTTTCCTGATTACACAGAGTGGCAAACAAGAAGGGTGCAAAAAAAGACCCTTTGAGGTACTACTTTATTGTTTCTAATGGTAGTTAGACATTACTGATTTAAAAAGTGATATGATAGAAGTTGCAATTAAAAATAATAGATTTTTGTCAGAATTGTCAGTTCAGATTACACTTCCATAACTCTGCTATCTTGATTTTACTAATCAACTATGTGTACTATGTGTAGATACCAACCGATGGTGATGATCCCAACACTGGCACTTGCAAAATTCCAGTGGCTGTCCAGAAGGGGTTTTTGGAAGAAGTGTGTTCTAACTTTAAAGAATATGAAGACAAAATAAAAAGTTAGTTATCTGGTTTAGTACATTAAACTCATTCTTTTAATGGCTAGAATACTTTTTTCTTGTTTCTTTTCATGCCAATATTCCTAATAATAATAGTCACAGTAGATGTGTGTCATGACTCCTATCTGTTTCCTTATGTGCCTAGAACAAAACATCACTGATCTTTCTCAGGTAACTCCTTATCAGTTGGAGAAAATTGGCATAAAGTAAGTTTATCCATTTTAAATGAAGTTGCATTGTTCACTCAGTTAATTTAGTATGTTTCTGCTATGCTTTATGTTTTTTGGGGGGGGGGTTGTTTTGTTTTTTACTCTTTAGGCATCGCAGTGTCCGTCTTACAATCTACAATACTATGAAGAAGCACCTTGGCATCAAAGATTTAAACAAGGTGATTTAACATGACTACTTGACAAAACTTATTCTTATCATTTAAGATTAAATAAGATAAGATAGAACTTTATTAATCCCTCGGGTGGGTTCCTCTGGGAAATTCAGTACAGTATCAAAAATATTCAAAAGGATTGTAACTATCAATGTAAAATAAAATATCCTTTAAAATTCCTTCAAGTTGCCATTACCATAGTAGCAAGCATGATACTAGAAGACCATTAGCCTAGCATCAGCCTCAATGCTTGCTTACCACTGTTTAAAAAAAAAAAAAAAAAAAAAAAACGAAATTAAATATAAAAAGACTAAGACCTGCTACCTGCTACTGGGAAAGAGCTGGAAATAGTTTTATTCTTTTTTTTCTTTCTTCTTGTAATTTTTTGTCTTCTTCTTTGTTCCTCACACAGGTGTTTAATGATCCCATTCATGGCCACATCGAGTTGCACCCACTTCTTGTCAAGATCATAGACACCCCTCAGTTTCATAGACTACGAAACATCAAGCAACTTGGGGGGGTATATTTTGTTTATCCAGGAGCATCGCACAACCGCTTTGAACACTCTATTGGGTATGTCAACAGGTTTGCAGACATACCAGTATAGTGTTTTTCAGTGTGTTGCATGGTGAACTCTGTCTTTCCGTGTGTACTATACAGGGTGGCATACTTAGCAGGAGAGCTTGCTAAAGCCCTCAAGGTGAAGCAGCCAGAACTTCACATCAGTGAACGAGATGTCCTCTGTGTGCAAATTGCAGGTCTTTGCCATGACCTGGGTAAGTAATACACACCTTTTCTCTATTACAAATATTAGATGCTGCAGATGGCAATTGTAAAAATAAAGTGAACCTATTCTCGTATTGTAAATAATATGTTAAGCTTGGCCTTTATTTGTTAGGACTGACAAATAAAGTATCAAATAGGCAGAGAACAAAATCAATGGGCAGTTTAAAAACTTATAATGTACAATATACCAACACAACAGATATCAAGAATAAATGCTATCTGAATTTCACAATATTTTCTTTTGTCTGGAAGCTATTCACAACACCCTTAATTAACTTGTACAAAATTCCCTGTCTATACTGGTCAGTCGTAAATAAAGCATGCCTGACAAAAAGATAACAAATAATTTTCTTTATAATTCACACGAAATTCACATGAGTTTTTTTAAAATATTTATTTCTTTGCATAAAGGACACGGGCCCTTTTCTCATTTTTTTGATGGAATGTTCATGCCCGAAGCAGGTGATAAAAAGTGGAAGGTAAGCAAAAAAACATTTGGAGTTTATCGTAGTAGCCATCCTAAAACTGAAGTACATGAAAATTCCAAAAAATGATTAATTAAACTGCGTTAATAAGTGACCTTTAGAGGTACTGGTTTGTAAACTTTGCATGGTTTTCCCTGTTTCCCAGTGTTATGGTTCTTAGGGTCTGTGATAATTTTGGAGTTTTGAATCCTTGGTTATTATATTCAGTTTGAGTTTTTCCTGTTTTGTGTTTATTGTATTTTCATATTGTTGTTTGTTCCCTTTACAAAGATAATATGTTGTGAATCTTAGTTTTGGTAATTTTATGTTACTATTATCATTATTACAGTGATGAGCTTGAGTTTTGTCTTGACTTTGTTATTCCTGTCTCATGTATTCCTGGGGATTTTAAAGAAAGGCATCTATCATCATGTTTAGCGATGATAGATGGTGAATATTCAGACATAAAAGCTGTGTTCTTCCTGTTGTTTTACCGTATGAAATAACATCAAAAAGCTGAAGTGTACTTTAAAAAACAAAATGTTTCCAACAGTGTTTTAAACCAAACTCCTACCACTTTATTCATTTTAGTTGCCTGTTAGTGTTGTTTTATCCTTTTCCTCCCACAATCAACAAATTCATGTTGATATAATGAAAACATTTAAGGTTTCAAAGAGTTCTAATTAGTATGACTGTCTTGACCACAATAATAGAGCTCGCTTTTAGACGTGATATCTGAGAGCTAACACATCTGTATCACTTTTAGCAAACTACTTGTCAGGATCCTGGGTCTCCTGACCCACCGTTTTTAGTTCTTTGTGATTCTTGTATTTTGTACTTGTGTGATTTATTCTATGGTTTCTAGTTTTGATCCCTTGCCCTTCATGTTTTTCTGTGCCCCCTCTGTTCTGTGTAAGTCTGTGTTTCTTGGTCAGTGTCTTTGCATGTTTTGAGTTTCTTGTGTTTTCTGTCACTCTGTATTGTGTATTATGTTCTCATGGTTGGTCTTTTGTTACTCCCTCGAGTCTAGTTTCTTGTGTTCCATGCTTAGTATTTCCCTCTGTGTATTTTGGTTCTTAGAGTCCTCTGCTTAATGGTTTGTCTCTGTGTTTCTTAGTTGCTCTGTCTCCCTTACATCACCAGGCTTCTACCTTTCTACCTATAAAACCCGAGAGCAGCCAAATGGCTGGTA